AGAACAATCATGATCTTATGATAAACAAATATAGGGAAGAACAACCACTGTGGGCCCAAATTCATTTACATGTACATACATATTTGAAGACGCTAAGCATGCATAAGAGGAAAAAATGATGAAGCTCGTAATTAACAGACTAATTAGACATGATTCCTTGGGAATATACATATATGACTACAAAATAATGACTATAAAATACATACGGATCTGCTCGTTCAATTCGACATGTTCCACAGTAAAATACAGGTGGATGTTCACTCTCCATAGGGATCTCTGTAAAAATGACACAACTAATATGTTGCTGTACTTGACATTTTGAATCTATACACTGCAAATAGAAAAGGCCTCGGTGAGAATTCGAAACAAGACTCCACACTTTTACAAGGGAAGCAGTAATAAAATAATCAGGGCATTGCAAATGCTCCAATCCTAAGGTTAAGCGTAAGACATTCAACTTCAGAGTTACTTTCTCTTCCTGCTAAAGCTCAAAGATAATAACATAGAACTATATCTAAAACGAAGTATGACTACAGAGTTCTTCCACAGTTCATCCAACTCAGAATAGAATATGACCACTATGTTTGACCTGACCTGTATCATGAACTCGGTAGCCAGCGAACTTCCACAAGGACAACGAATCATCTTCCCTGGTGTATTGAAATCTTCAACTTCTTCTGTGGCACTCATAATATCTAAGCCATTTGAAGCCCTGGCTGCTAAATCTGATGCATCCATTAACTGCATTTTTCTGGGTAAAATAATTGGTTTAACACACAACATGTGAACAAAAAATAAGGGGAAACAACACTATTTTCCAGTAAGTAGACGGGTAAAATATAGTTTTAGAAGACACGCTGCAGAACAACTGTCAGGATTTCATGAACATAACATGAAAATAGAAAAAAGCACCTGTAAGCATCATCAATTATTTTCAATACAGCTTCCTTTCCAATCTGTTTTTTCCTTGCTAAGCGGCGAGCAGAGCAAACTGCACAAAGTTTTCACCCATGTATAGCAACATTTATCAAGTTGAGTTAAACTCTGTCAAGGCATGTAAACAAAGAGTTATGACTTTGATTCTAAACAAGAGAGAACCAATTCTTGACAGTAGAAGGGAATATTCAATTTCCTACAAAGGCACAAAAAACACATCTGGAGATAAAAAAGACAAAACCCACAGGCTGATTCCCCTGTTGATGGACACCGGTCTTGACTATCAGTACCAAAGGTGAACAATAACATTCTATTGAAGACAACAAAATTCTATGGTAACTCACTTTCATCGTCCGAAAGCAAACCTATAACTCTGTCCATTAGATCCTGCACAGAAAGAAAAATAAATACCAGAGAAAACAATCGTGATTAAAAATGCAGGGAAAAAGAAAGAGAGAGACCGTGCATAATTATCGAGCCAACAAGTTAGAGATAAAATAAAATTTTCATAGAATAAAAAGCCTGCAAATCTTTGCACAAACAGTTACAGAATAAAGGCAAAAAAAAAAAAAATGACAAGAGAAAAGCAGAATACCTGCTTCTTCCCTTGCTTTGAAAGACCCAGCAGAGATAAAATCTCCTTAAGCTCTTTAATTCTAAAATATGCCAACTTTTCCTACAAGTTAAGCATATAAACATCATTAGCACACTTACATACATGCATGCATACATCCACACATACACATACACGCACGCATGTATAAAATAACAAAATAAAATTCATTTCGATCACAAATATTTGTCAGCTCGAAATTAACATTCAAACAAACCACACTTAATCCAAGCTAAAAAGCAAACACAGTGATTATCATACTAAACTAGTAAATTACTAATTACCTTGCAGCTAGCCATCGAATCCATCTCCATTGGCACAAAAAACTCTTAAAAACAACAACAAAACCTCACGATTCAGCCCCCAAACCATGAAATCACTAAAAAAAAAAAGGGATAGTTAAAACAAATTGACTTACCTTGACTAGAAATTGAAAGGAACAGGAAACTTGGCCCTGATTATGCTAAGCTAGGGTCTCTAGTCTAGTGATCGGTAAAGGGTGATGACTTTATAATGTTTAGAGTTAGGGAGAGGAAGGAGATTGGTCTTCAATTTGCAGTGACAAATGGTTCAGGTGGTTGCCGGATACAAGAAGAGCGGATTTGAAACGCTTATAAATATCATGTTTTGGAGTTGGGGTATAAGTCCGGGATGGGATTTGCTGCATGCAGGAGTAGCGACCGAGGGTGGCGTGGAGGTATGTGATTTGTGCATAATTTGTTCGCAAATGACTGCGCGACAGCTCGCCGGGATTTGTGAGTTTGGCGAGAGAGTACGAGAAAGATTAAAAAAACATTTTCGTGGATTCTGCTGACGTTGGCAGTGTCTTTTCGGCGTGGCAGCCAAGTATTGTACTATCGGTTTGCATTGACTCGTGGCTCAACTGCCGATGTAAATTTAGTATTAGGTGAGATACCTTTTTCATTTGCCCTCTCACGACTCTCCAGTCTTCGGTTGTAAATTTAATTTCCAGCGTTTTCATTTTATATTTTATAATAATTAACAGTAGCATTAAAACAAGGATTAACATCTCAAGGCGCCGCACCTTTATATCGGCTTGTTATACACCGTTTATAGCGTTGTTCATGTGGTGGATTTTCCTTCTAGATCCCTTTAATTTTGACTTCTTTTTATTTTGTTCATTGAACTTTATTTCCTTTCAATATAATACTTCTAAGTTGTGTTGTCATTTTATTTTCTACCTATTGCATGGTGATGATATCCTAAAATCCAATATATATAAATAAATAAATAAATATTTAGTATTTAAAATAGTAGTTAATCAATATTCACGTATTTAAATTTATTTTTTTAATATGAGAAAATTTAGGTTTATAATAAAAATTTTAAATAATTATAAAAACAGTCTCCATCGAGGGATTTAAAGACTCTCCTCGAATGATAAAGTCAATAAATTTATAAAAAATATATTAAATAATTTAAAAGAGCTTTAATTTTTATGAACAAAAATGTTTGTTCTTGAACTTTAAATTTAATCATGCTAGAAAATTTAAATATTTTTATCTTATGAAATAAAAAAATTTAAACTTTTTAATTTGATGGTTCAGGAGATATTTATATCATTTAAACCTTGTTGTTTTCATGAGAAAAGAGAGAATGAAATTCCTCTACTTTAATATGAATTGAATATCTATTACACATAATTAATGAGATAATAAGCACAATGTATCCTTTAAGATGCCTTATATACACTTATAAGCACAAAGAAATTATTACTTCGGTGTAAAAAAATATTTTAGATGGAAAAGTGTGATAATTTTTATGTCTTTTATGTTTATATCATGGAGGATTGTTTATGATCAAATATAAAGTCTTAAAAATTGATAATGTTTGAGTTTTTTTATATATGTTTTTGAAATCATGTTATATTGGATTTAGTTGACTAATAAGTCCAAGTATCTTAGATTTAATATGTTTGTCATACCTGTATTATCTCTGGCTTTGCTTACCATCAAATTTAAATGATTTAAATTTTTTATGCTTGTCACATTCATGTTATCCTATATTTAATTGATTGCCTCCAACATGTTTATTAGATTTATATTACTTTGGACTTAGTTGAATTTTAAATTCATGTACCTTAAATCTAATATGCTCACCAATTTTATATTATCTTGGATTTGTCTGACTGTTAAATTCAAATGCAATAAACATCATTCACTACTGAACTCAAATACATTAAATTTAGTATGTTTTCAAAATCGTGTTATATTAAATTTAATTAATTACTAAGTTAAAATATAATGAACATAACCAATTATCAAGTTCAATTATCATAAGTGAACATATTTATTAAATTTATATGACTTTAATTTTATTTACTATTAGATCTAAACATCTTTACCATCTCAAAGATTTATATAAGAAAAGTCAACCCGTCACGTGCTCCCACCAGTAAATGAAGGATGATAGAAAGTAAGTTCACTAAACTTTATGTTTTTTTTATAATAAGTTCATCTTGAAAATAAAATTATCTTATGATATAAGGACTAACATGCAACTAATGTGATAAGAATTCTGCAAGCCCACAACTTATTAAAAAAAAAAAAAAAGAGTTCCTTGCCTTGTTGTTAAGGATTGCGAGCCTGTTTGCTCCTGGCCACGTATTCATCTATTTTGTTATTAAAATATTATAATATCTACGAAACCATTTGTTGTCACGGGTAACAAATTTATCAACCGCCATGTTCATATATTCCCAGAAAACTAAAATTAAAAAGGGCTAGCTTGAATACGAGGAGGAACTTCCAGTGATGGAGAGCTGTTAACATATTTCTGTATAGAGAAAAAACTTTAACATATTTCTCTGATTTTTTTTAACCAAGATTGAAGATGACTCACAACTGTGATTAATGACACGGGACGCTGCTATAACTTCATTTACCTCCTCATATATTGCCAGTGAATTTTTTGAAAAACCCCACGTATAATTATTTCATCCTCACAAAACAAGCCACTTTATAGTTGTCAAGCAGTCCAGCATTACTGCCCCCGTGCTGTTAAAACAAATAATTGAAAACCAGAAAATTATCTCAAAACCGTTTATTTTACTCCCAGAGGGCAGAGAGCAACGCCATTGCCCCATTCTAGTCTTTTTCGCCATGGACGACAAGGCAAGCGGCAGAAGAAGAGAGGTCCTGTTCTTGGTGGGTTTTTGGATGCAAGCAAGCAGAGAAATCAATCTGGTTGATGAAATGTCCTTCAATGGCCTCTCGTTCTCCACGAAGCCAAGAACACGAGGATCGTGATGGTGATGCCTCTTCACTCCCCGTGGGTAAAGTCATCACCGACCCTCTTAAAGGTCTTAAAGGCAATGACGATGATAACTCTGCTACCGAGGTTAAAAAGATGTAATTTTTTCTTCTGTTTTTTTAGATACGTTCAAGTTTATGTCTTATGGCTTTGTGTTTTTTTCTTGCACGATTTCTTTTTTGGTTTGATGGTTTTGGTCAAGGGTGATATTGTGCTGCAGCATTACGAGAATGCATGTGATTTTGTGTTGGTTCTTGTTCTATTTTGTTGGGTTTGCACATTTTACAATTTCTTTTGCTTACTGTATTTCATGAATTACAACTCTTTTATGGAATATAGCATTCCTTCGCAGTTCATGTCATTTTGGTTTTCCTTGTCTGTAATGTTATGGATTGTGTTGCTAAGGGTTTAATGAATTTTACAAACGAGAATTGAATCTCTTGTTCTCGAACATAATATTTCTGTCGATTTTCTTCCGATTTTCCTTTCCAGGAATTGTGGGACTGAAAGTTAGAAATGATGTTTTCTTGTTCTAACTCATATAACACTTTCAGTTTTGGCAATTGAACTTGGGAAGCTGAACAAGTTGGTGAAATTTCGTTGTGTTATGGGAAAGCTGTCTGTGGGGGGAAGAATACCGAATAAATTGGACACAAGGCCTCATAGCGCATACCTTGAGAACCATGGAAAAATCTGCCGTGAAAAGACAGGGCGTGATCAATAGTAGACAAATAAAGGCTATCTTTTATACTAACATCTTTTCTTCACACTTTTTTACGCATGTTCAATTCTCATTGACCTTGCTTTATTTCCCATTTCAGGTTATCGACAACGACACTGGGAATCATACGAGGCCTATGCCAGGGATGATTATTTTTTGGATTCGCTGGACTGTGAACTCCATCAACACACTTGTCAATGTTTGTCACTTGGCTTTAAGTGGAGGCACTTTTCCGTTTTGCCATTACTAAATAGATCAGAGATATTTATAACAAGGATTATTCTGTATAATTGTTTTTGTACTGGGATAAGAGGAAACTATCAATCAAGTCATCATATATGAAAAGGACGAGAAGAGACTGTTGAGAAATGGAGGGGATTATGTTTAAGCTTTTTGAAAAAAAAACCAATTGGACATAAAGACAACTGATCCTAGAGACAGACCAGCCCGGAGTATGTTTCTTGACCACTTGATTTCTGCATTTGTGTTTATGCTTCCTTTTGGATCTTAGCACCACTGTTGTGTTTGTTTTCTATATATTTATAGTGATCAAATCTCTTTATAGGGTATTGTGTTTCATTTACAATATTCGAGTCATTGTACATCTCCATATTACCAAATGATGCTTTATGAAAGCATCATAACATGTTGCTTTTAGAAGAATGTATGCTAATATGATTCTGTAGATATCCATCCTATTTGTGCAATAGGATTTCATGACCTATGCAATCATGAGTTTGATAAGTCTTGGTACACATGACCTTGAGATCAACACAGAATATCTTCTGTATATTTGAATATTTGACTTGATAAGCACTATTTGTCTAAATGCGGGTGTTATAAGACAAGTTGGGTTGCCATGACTATCTCTTTGTTTTCATAGGGTGAAAGTGTTCTAATTTAATTTTCTCAGAGTAATTTAAAGAAATTCCAACAGTACGCTTACCTGTTACCATGCTTAAACATTACAGGCTTTTACTTGTGTTGGTTTCTGTTACGAACTCATCCTTGAACACAATGATAATATGAAGCGTATTGCAGACTCCAAATCTGAGAGGCTGAGAAAGTGATTCGCTCGAATGCAGAGATTGGCCAAGAGCTGGCAAATGCCTCCTTTTGTTCTCGCTATTCCTCTATTGGGGTCGCAAGTAAAATTTCTCCCTAAATTCCTAGCTGTTCAGCCATGAAAAATACCTGACCCTGCTTCCAACAATTGGCAAAAGCTCTTTGAGCCTTTAGTTGAAATGCTCCATGCTAGTTTACCACACGAGCACATCCTTTCATCATATTAAAAAAAAACTAAAAGAGATCAGTGATTCATCACTGTAGATTGTATCTAAAATCACTGTGGATTGCATTATTTATGTTTAAAATTAATTCTTGCAATAAATTTTGGCTAATTTTCTTTCACTGTTTTTTTGTTAGGTACGTGGCAGCATCCTTACCATGTATCTCTATGTTTTTTTTTTTAACAGGTTACATCTTTCCATCACTGGTATAGGCTTGGGTGTGGCTTTGAGGCTAGGCTGTTTGGTGGCTCTATCCAGAAGGAACATCATCTTGATTTCACTCCAAGATCTCAGTTTGTATCAGGATTTCAGTTCTCACCAGGAGGTCTGGGCGGAGCTTGCGCTTCGTTCACTCAAAAAGAATGGGATCCAGATCCGTAAGTGACTTCAATTGGCTTTTAATTAAGACTGATTTTCTTCCTTATCTTATAGAGCTTTGTCTGACAGGGAATTTTAGCTCCTTCCTTTTCTTGCTGCTTGGGCTTTCACAGACAAATATTATAATTACATGTGGAAAAATTAGGGTTCGTGGACAGAAGCTCCCAAATGTAGAGACCGAGAAATAAAGGGTGAATGATGGCTTGGATTTCATGATGGCTTAGGCTAAAAGGAAAAGAGACTTTTGTTTGTAGAGACGTGGCCGCCACCAAAAAATCTGGCTTGCTTTTAGGAGTCCTTTCTTCTGGATTGTATTTGTTATTATTATACAACACTAAATGCAATGCCCACTTGGTTAGATTTGATTCAGAGAGCAGGTGAGTTAGTAATTTTGTCAGATTTTGTATATTATTGCAGTGATTGAATGACTGACCAGTTTTGATTTTTTTAAAATTAATTTAATTTTCGGTTTGCTTTTTTGCAAAATATCACTTGACAGTGAAGCTTTGTTTATTAGGTGGCTTGGCATGGATTAAAAGGCTCTTTGTAATTCTTATTTATACATGGCTAGTCTGCTTGCAGTTCTCTGTGCTGGTACGTCTTTCCCCCCAATAATTAAGGTGTGGACATGCATTTGGATGTTTCAGTTGAGATAATTGAGGGTGGGTGGGTTTAGCATGCTGATGAAAGGAGAAAAGGAGTATGGTTTTAAGCTATTTCAACTGACAGACATTTAATGCACGTTGAGGTTGGCATGTTACTGCCATTGTGATGTGCAGTGTTTTTCTTGAGCGGGAAATGTGGAGACAAAGTGAGGGGGCTGATTTGTTAGCTTAATTCTGACTTGGGTAGGTGATGGATTGTCCTGTTAGAATATTTTTAAAGAAATCTATTTCATATCTGGTCATTTTTTCTTGGACGGGAAATGTGGAGACAAGATGAGGGGGCTGATTTGTTAGTTTAGTTTTGACTTGGGTAGGTGATGGGTTGTCCTGTTCAATATTTTTTAAGAGCTCTATTTCATATCTGATCACAACAATTACTTTTGTTTTGTGACATCCAGTTGGTTGCTTTTTATCATGTTGGTGGGCATGTATTTTCCTTTTTTCCTGCAAGGATATATAATACTTCAAGCTCTGCTTTTGGATGTTCTGGCTCCTAACTTTTTCCTCGTGGTTTTCTAAACCTTGTCCCTGGATTTCAAAGGAAATTATCCAACTCATCAAAGCCTAACTTCCGACTGCTTAGTGTTCGGAGATTTTACGTAATATTGTTTCTTGCAGATTAGCAACTCTATTTTTTTTAACCCATGTTTCTCTACACGGGGGAATTTGAAGCTTAGTTCATCCTCAATACAGAGCTTGTTCCAAAATTCTGAAAAAAACTATGACTTTGCGTGCTTCTTTTTATTTTTGAACATTTTGAACAGCCCTGGGCAAGAGATATTCCACGAATTGTCACACTAAGGATGACTTTATCATCTTGTAACTATCTTCTTCCCTCCCCTTTCTGAATTGCAGACAAATAAAAAAAATTTGTGACTATTTCAAAAACTTAATAGGCCAAGCTGCCACCAAGATCTTCTTTGGGCTATATGAAATGCTTGATTTTGGATTTCCTGTTGCTATTTTGTCATTATCTCTGTTGAATTTTAGTCTAAAAGTATTTCATCCTCACCGTCTCTGTATCATTGTTACTTTGTCTTTCTGTCGCATTTTGTGAAAGACATGGTTCGGGACCTCTGTGTCTGCATAAGGGTAGTAATCAAGGATCATATGAACTGAAGCCGGAGTACAAGAAAGCAAGCGAGGAACCAATGCCTGAAAAGATTATAGTATTGCTGATGAATGACTGCAGAAAGGAACTCTCAGTAATATTAAGTTCTTTCCCCCGAACTACTCTCGTGATGCCTTCTCTTTCTGATGGAATTGACGTGAACGCAGGAGTAAGGAAATAATTGGCATTTTTTCTTTTGAAGTTCTGAGTCTTGGCCTCTAGTTTTCAGATCAGCAGCTGATGGCAGTTTTGTCAACTTTCTGTAGAGACAAACTTGGCGGCATGTTTCATTCTGCTTATACTGTTTGGTTAAACAGTGTTTTAATTTTGATTTTATTTTTTAGCTTTAAATTATTTTATTTTTTAATCATACTGCAACTAGCCAGCTACCCACGTTCTGTCCTTTTCTGTTGTTTTCTTCTTTCATGGTGGACGCTGGCCCTCCTTAGCTTCTGGATTGCAATTTAGGCCCACGTGGTGAATTTGTAAGCATGGTGCCAGTCATCGTAATGTTTGTTTTCCTCGCACGGGTTGCAAAGGTTGATGGTGACGCCTAGCTAAATTATTGCTATGGTTTTTTAATAGTATTAGTATATTTTTTTTTATATGTAATTCAATAAAAAACAAATTGAATAATCATTTTTATTTTAATATATTTAATGTTAATATTTTTGACTTTCTTAAGACAAGTTTAATCGATGAAATAAGATATCCAAATAAATTATTTAAAATTTTATTAAAGGAGTTAAATTAGCTCGCACGTGACACAACACGTCAAAAGGAGCGTTGAGTATTTCCTTCCAAATCTCAACAACTCCACCACACGCTTCATGCACGGACATTTTTTTTAAAACAATGTTGTAAGGATATTATTTCCATGGCAGAATAAATTAGGATTAAATAAATAATGTAAAGTATTAATTATTAAAATGCACGATTGAAACTGCTTGAAAATCAACTAGAGCTGCATAATTCGTCAATAACCTTGTCACTAACCTCCAGCAAAACCAAGAGCATGGTATTATTTACAGAGCAGTGGTTCTATGAACATGATTTGGAAATTCCAGAATCTATTTCAAAAAATTATAAAGTCTCTGGATTGAAGAAGATGAATTAAAATTCAATTTTTTTCAATCACTAATGAATTGCTAAAACAATCATTCAAAATTTACATTGTTTTTTAGCACGATTTAAATTAGCTGCTTTGACCTGTTATCTTAAGTTTACGTAGCACTTAATGTTTATATGTTAAATATATATTGATTTCGAAATTTATTATGCTGGGAAGATAGAAAAAAGATTTTCTGATTATGGATCGAAAGCAAATAAATTCAAATCAAATAAAAATACTTTTTTATATATGTAAAAAAGCTTGAAAATACTATGATTGATCACAGATTTTAAAATGAAACTACTTCAAGAAAGAAAGATAAAAGTTGGAATGTATGGTTGAGGTTAATTATTAGCCGCGACCTATCATGCATTTTTCTCCATTATAAGTGGAGGGAAATTCATGGTAATAAAAAAGAATCAAGACGCATATTTATTTGATTTTTTAATAAGACGGCTGCTCTCTCTCTCTCTCCATGAATTCTCCATCTACCATCTTTGACCTCAACAAACCATTCCAACCTTGACATTAACAACGCTCTTACATCCAAGACGTGTGCTCACCACGTCGTCGTTTACTCCCTCCTTTATTTCTATGAGAACCCAACTTAGATTCCTTTCTCTGTCTCTTCAATCTCTCGAAAACGAATAACCCTTTTTTCCTCCCATCTCTCTTTTGATTTCTGGGTTTTAACTGTAATATTTGAATAAGAGGTATGGCATCATGAAGTTTTTTGCTTTCTTTCATTTTTAGATCTTTGTTTCTTACGGTTTTTTTGTTTTGTTTTTTGCATTGCTTCGTGTTTTGTGTTCTTTCATTTTAATTGATCTTTGTTGATTTTGAAGGCTTAATAGTTTGCTGAAGTTTGATAATTTAAAGGTTTAAAGAAAAAACACTGATGGGTTTTTCTGGAAGTCAGATGGGTTCCATTATTTTTGGGTGAAGTCTGTGTTTTTTTTAATGATGAATACTCTGTAGCTCTTGAAATAAAAGCTTTGTGTAGTGATCTGTGGAGCTGTCAGATGATGTCAGGTTTTGTTTAGTTTTATTCTTTTCCAAGAGTTATGTTCTGTTTTTACGAATGTAATCGGTTGTAGTGATGAATGTTTGATATGGGATTTTGTTGCTGTATAATCGAACTGTATCTATGTGTATATGGTCTTGTTCTTTTTCATGATTTCAAATATTGGATGTCATTGATGTTTCTCTCCTTGTTAAATTTTATATTTGGCATCTAAACTGGTGATTTATTGAATTGTTTGTGTTTACTGGGCACATGATCGTACACTTTGCAATCACAATCTTGTACATTTTTCTTCAGTTTCCGGGGCTGGTTTACAATCTCGATCATTGGTTTATATGATCAATAGTTGCTTTGCGATATTGCTCTTGGTCAATTTTTGTTCTAACATTGTTTTGAGAGTTTGATTTCATGTTTAGAGGCTTACCACCCTCTCTAGTTCAGAAGATGATGAAGGCATTTATCTTCATGCTCTTTCCTCTTTTTGTGCAGATAACCTTGATTTCTGATAAAGATGGGCTTTTTCTTCAGAGGTCTAAATGAGGATCTCGCATCTTCTCAACTGGACATCCAAAGGTGTCCCTTTTTGAAAAACATCAATGAGCCTACTAATTTTTCGTTTTCCCCATCCATGCCTCTCCCTATGCCTGTAAGTTTTCTATTTTTTTGCATTTTTGCTTAAATGTAAGCTTCTTCTATGTCTGTGTCCTGGCTGGGTATTAGATCGGGTACTGCTTTACTGTTTTGTTATACTTTGTGCATTTCTATTAGGAATTCCTTTGAAAACCAAAAGGTTGTATGTTACTTAGAGCTAGCCTAGCTTAGTATGAAACCGATAAATATTGAACCTGGGCTTGCCTCTCTTACCTTAATCTGATATCATGACCATCTCAAAAGTATAATTTGCACTTGGACAATCAGATCCCGACCACCTTAATTGAAATTGGTTGATTGCTCTGGAACATTCAACTAAAATTTTGATCAATCTTTGCCAGGTACGCACAGGTAAGGGTCCGATTTTTGAAGATGGTCCCAATTTTGATATGACATTCAGGCTATTCCATGGGCATGATGGAGTAGTCCCACTTTCTGAAAGATCGTTCTCATGTTCTGAGAAAGTAGAACCTCGGCCTACTGCACCAGAGTTCAATCCTTTAGCTGCAAAGGCAGCCACCATCAGTCTTTCATCCTTTGGAGCTGGGGGACTCTTCAGTTTTGATGCATTTTCTAAGAAGTGGAATAATCAGAAGAAAAACTCCAATTCATCCAAGAAAGAGTCGTCTTCACAGGTAAATGAATGCTGATTTTTAGACTGACAAAAAATTCCATCAGAAGTTCATAACATATATGATGAAAAACATATTTTGGAACTTTAAATTGACAAGTTTTTATGATGATGTTCCAGAGAGGACACTCAAATCATGAGGCATTGAGCAATGAGTGGCTGCAAACTGGAAACTGCCCTATTGCGAAATCATTTCGGGCAGTTAGTGGTGTCCTGCCTCTGGTAGCGAAGGTTCTGAAACCCCCTCCAGGCATGAAATTCAAGTGCCCACCTGCAATAGTTGCAGCCCGAGCAGCTATATCACAAACTGCCTTTGCAAAGAATCTTCGGCCACAACCCTTACCTGAAAAGATACTTGTGATTGGGATGTTGGGTATGGCAGCAAATGTTCCTTTAGGAATATGGAGGGAGCACACCAAAAAATTTTCGCCATCATGGTTTGCTGCTGTCCATGCTGCAGTTCCTTTCATAGCCATGCTTAGGAAATCCATATTGATGCCAAAGTCAGCCATGGCATTTACCATTGGAGCATCTATATTAGGACAGGTTATTGGATCTAGGGCAGAGCGATACCGGCTGAAGGGAGTGGCTGCCAAGGGAATGCCTCTCACCGAAGCAGTGGCTGCCAAGGGAATGCCTCTCACCGAAACACCTGCCAGTAGCTTAAGTCAATTGCAAGTTATTGCTGTTAATAGTGGACATTGCGGTTCTCTGGTGGAATATCCAGTTTCCCTTCAGATGGCTGGAAACTCATCTTCAGCAGCTGACATATTCTGCTAATTCTGTCTTGGCACTGTTGTTCGCCCCATCTTGGTGCGTTTACATTATTGTAATTCCTTGTTTCCAGCAAAGGCGTTTGTCTATTCCTTGTTTCCAACAAAGGGCGTTTGCCTATTCCTTGTTTTCCATGATTGTTGTTGTTCCCTTTCCTGTAAAGACCTGATTCCGGCAATAGAAGGAATAAAAATATATAAATAATGAGTGATTTATTTATTGTTCAGGCAAATTTCTGCCTCGATCTGATTCATGAGATCTTGATTTTCATTTCTATAAACAGGATTGCATCTATGCGAATTGAAAGGGACAGGATTAATTAGTAACATTATAACAACAACTGTGGAATTTTCAACAAAGCCTGGCTGATAGTTTCATTGTAGTTGCTCTTTTGTATTTGCTGCAATCCCCGGGTCAACTAATTGCTTGGATTCAACCCATTAATTTATATTGGGTTTGAACTTTGAACTGTGGTTTGTTCTTTGCCAAGTAGTAATGACCTGGTCGGCGTGTGTGCCAGCATTTTATACTGTAGGGTTTGTGGTGCCGATTTTGACCGTTTGAACACTGCTGCTTTTGTCAAATCTCCGAATCTTTATCAATGGCAGGATATTTCCTCTTTTATATATATATGTATATCGAAAACTCAATGCACTCAACTCCATTTATAAAAAAAAAATAAAAAATCCAAGACAACGCCGACACTACTCATGTTTACCTGTAAAAAAAGAAAGAGAGAGTGAATATGGTCAACAGGGTATCAAGAATTTTGAAATTAAAGAGTGTTTGTGTTGATTGTACACACCTCTTGATGGATCTTTTCTCTGGTATACTGCTGGGAAGAATTATCACGAGAGGCACCGCCAAGTGTACTGAGAATCAAAGCTGAGCTCCTAAGGTTGGCAATTTTTTGTTTGATCATGGAATGGCAAACCACTTAATATTTATCATTTCAGTCTGTCATTGGGGAGCAAGTAATTATTTTTTATTTATAATTAAATCCCCATGAGGGAATTCAATAGAGAAAAATATCATTTCTGTGAATCTCTTAGCAGCTATTGTACCATTTGGATTCCAGGACGTCTATATAACTCAACTTCTATCCACATCTATGCCATACCACCAAAAGCTTAAAACAAAAAGGAAATTTGTGCCTGTTCAAATCAAGAACAGAGCCATTCTGGCACTCTTTACAGCAGTCGCCAATAAACATCTTTAACCAGCAAATTATGGATGTGTTCATAACAGAGAATGTCAAAAATCTGTCTTTCACTGCGTAATTTATGACCACAGGTCAAATTGTATGCTCACTGGAAATGACCAGACTGGACCTGGGATTCCATGTTTTTGAATCTTGTCAGGTCAGGTGGTCGCTGCGTGCCATTGCTGTTTGTTTTCTTGTTCTTTCATCCGTTGCACCATAAAGCTACGGCAACATAATTACAGCAATGAGATTATGAAATAAAATTGATCTTTTTTCAAGTTGTTTTATTATAAAGGATACGATACCTTTCAACAGAGTTGAAACTATAGTTATAAAACCTGGGTAAATCCGGGCTGGGTTTTACAATCCCCCCGCTATTTTTTTTTTAATTTTATAAAAACAACTTAATATATAGTCTAGATTGATCTACAAGCCAACCTCTAAATTAGGTCTTATAAATATAATTAAAAGAAGGACGTAGTTGAGTGATAAAAACTGAAATTAAGGTAAAATAATATTTTTTTTAATATAAGGTCTATATAAAATAAAGCTAAATTATTCAAAAACTATATTTAATTTAGATTTGGAATAATTACAAAAACAATGTGTTTTGGTTTAATTTAATTTTTTCTTTACTTTTATAGTTTAATTTAAATTTATTTATTATATATTTTTATATATTATATTTTACTTCCTGAAGTTAAATAAAAAATTCAAATAAAATGCATTGTTAATAATATAAACTGTTATTTAACATATAAACTATAATATGAAAACTATAATTTGTGAAAGTATAAAGAAAAAATAAAATTTAAATCAAACTGTAATTTTTTTTAATTATCCCTGTAAATTTTAACAAGTCAAGTTTTTTTTAATACTTTGAGTTATTTTTTTATATTAGAAATAAATTATTTTATTCGTGACCTAATTCAACTGCAAAAGAATTCAAACTATTTTTTTCATTAATTAAAATTTTTTGAAAAAAAACTTATAATTAAGACTTAAATAAAATAATTCCATAAATTCAAGTTAAAAAAGGCTTTCAATAATGGAAAAAAGGAGAAAATAAAAGAAGAAAGAGAAATCATTTTTAACAATGGTAAAAGCAAAACTAATTAAAAACAAATAACCACAATTATTTTATTAACTAAAAAAATAGTTGTATTAGAAGGCAGCCATATCCAGTTTAGAAACGGATTAGAATTTTTTTTTTAAAAAAAATTATTTAAATTTTTATTAAAATATATTAATGTTAAAAATATATTTTTAATATATATATATATATATATTTTAAAAAAATTTAAACAATAACCAATGCAAGATCAAACACCCCCACCAAGGAAAAAAAGCTGCTGCTAAGATTTGTGCTTTTAGCAACCAAAACTGAAACAGACCGTACAGAAAGAAATGTTGCGCAGCAACAACAGCACATCACCGCTTTGTTCTTTCGGGTCACCTTGGCCTGATCTTAACGACGGCTTGTTCTACAACGACGTCGTCTCCACCTCCTCCGATTCTGGTCTCTCTTTATTTTTTTTTAGCTATTAATTTTTATTTTATTTTTATTCATTCATTACTCGTATCTGCTAATCAATAATTAATTATTTAACTACAGGATTGACTCTGATACACTTCTACTCTTCCAAGTACAAGAATTCTGCTCCCTTACAAGGGTAATCAATTCTCTCTCAAGAAATCTGCTTGCTTTTGAATTTTTTTTATTGGGTTTACGTACTGATACTGAAACAGTTGGTTGCAGAGGATACACAATGGACAGGTTCACCCTCCACCAAAAACAAAGAAATGGTGAATTTTTCACATTTTTTTGGCAATGTAATGGACCATTGAGTAATTATTCGAGACGGGTTTTTGTTTTTGGTTGCAGATAACAATCGATGGTGAAGTTGTTAAAGAGCCCAAAGCAATCCTTAGGTGGGTTTGTGTTCAAAGCCAATTGTCCTTTTCTTTTTAAAAAATGTGGTTACTTTGTGCTAGCACATTTTTTTTTTTTTCGTGTAGGAAGAGATTATGATTGTTGGGAAAAAAAATGAAATTTTGTTTAGGGATGGTATGGAATTGGTGTACCATAGGCTTCCATGGAGAGAGCCCGATGCTCCTTACTTGCTTCAAGTTTTATATGAAGATGATGATATGGTAAATGTTTTACATACAGTGGGTATTGATTGCTTTTGGGTATAGATGGCTTTTGTGTGTTTATGTTTGGCTGATTTTTTTGGAACAATGCTTAAATGTTCAGATTGCTTTGAACAAGCCACCTGGTCTTCAAGTTTTACCTGGAGGGCTTTTCCAGCAACGCACTGTTTTAATGCAACTCCAGTGGAGGGCAAGCAAGGGCAGCTCTTCCCTAGCAATCCAAGGATCACATCCTGTTCCAGTTCATCGCCTGGGAAGGGGTACATCAGGTTAGCTAATCAGCGTGTGCTGGTGCTGAATAAATGACCATAACTTTATTTCTCCTCTTATGGCTGGCTAAATTTTGGAAATGTGCAAAATGATAATTGCACTCCTTCTCAAACTTCATTAATCAGTGAGGAGGAAGCATGCTAAGGAGAACTACTTTACACAACTAATTTACATTGGTATGAAAATAAGAGATGCTGAGAAGTAAAGATCTGACTTTAATTTTCTTCTGTTTATTGCAGCTTTTAGTGAATTTCATGGTTTAACTGAATAAGCAATTCTTGATATAATAGCGTGACAGTCAAATGTCATGGTTTTAGACCAGAAATTGATGTTAAATGATGACTGCTTCTTGTTTTTATTTTGCACAAGTAATATCCAGCATTTTATTCTTCTTTCTACTTGACAACTTTCACTTTTGAACCCTGCTCTTATGGTTTTAATAAAGCAACTGGGAATACACCAGCTCTTCTTGTGAAGTTTTCTATGGGTCAATGATCACTTACTAATTGAGTTATAGGAATACTACTTTGTGCAAAGACAAAGGTAGCCAAAACTAGCCTTGCTGCATATTTTGCTGATGGGACATCCCTTATTGGAGACAGCAGGTCAGCAGAGTTTCATCTTGCCTTTTTCCACCTAGAGTTGTTTCTCAATGAAAATTTTGACTTTACATTAAAAAAATTTATATTTCTTCGGGGCTATCAGTTACAAGGTGCCTATTATTTCTGTGGCCATGGATTAACTTCCTTATCTGGTTCAGCATTCGAACAATGAGAAATTTTGCTGCATGGCTAATTGAAATCTGGTTTTACCCAAATTAAGATACCAGTATTAGTTTTAGTACATATGAATTGTCAATTGAAAAGAGTATGAAACTTTGGACGTAAGATTATTTCTTGTCCTGTCTAGCTTTTATGTTCTATGTTCACATATAAGAGAAAGATGCAATGAAGAAAGAAATGGACTCCCCTAGGCTAAATGCTTCCAATGCAGCAGGTTACTGTTATTTTTTTTTTTGTGAATTCTTTGGGCGGACACAGACGAATTGGAAGAGACTTTCAATCCTCTAAAAACATGATGAAGCTATTATTTACTGTACCTATCCAGCTGACTGGATTCAGCCAAATAACCATTTTGTCACCCTTAATCTCTGTATATTCTGCTCACTCCAGGTAATACAGAATTTAGAGCAACTGGATCCAAATTGATTTCATAGATGGTTCACTAGACCAGCAACTGATTGAAACCTTTGAGCAATTGAAGGAACAACTGCTTTTTTCTTTTAAACCATGCATCTTACTAGCTTTCTGTTTGTGTGAAAGCCTTTTTTAAGTATTGCTCATCACACCTTCTTATCATAATATGTTTTGCTGATATAACGTATTTGATTCCCTCATCTATAGCAATGCCAACATGGAGAAGAGCAAAACGAGGAAGATTTCAAAGGTATACCGAGCACTAGTGAATGGGATACTGAATCAGGATAAGGTAACACCTTCGCTCCACCACTGCCTTTTGCTTCCTTTTCTGTTTGTAGCATTTGTACACTCCAGGTTATGATGTGATTTCTCCTCTGGTTGGCACTGATTGTTTTGTGTCAATAATGCTGAAAACTCATTTTGTATGTATAATGCTGAAAACTCATTTTGTGTGTATAATGCTGAAAACTTGAAGAATCATCTATGTCGAATTTCACCATTCCCGACAAACAACACACGATAATGATCTTGTTTGCATTGTAGATTATCATCAAACAGCCAATTGGAACAATGCGTTACCCTGGAGTGGCCAAAGGGCTGTATGTTGCTTCACCCTCAGGTTCATCAAATTTTTTCCTTATTAAATTTTCTATGATTTGTTTTCCCTCTGAAGTATTTCTAGTTACTATACAAAATTCAAAAGTATATAGAAATTGTATGGATATGTTTTCAAGTCTCATGTTTCTGCGTTTGTAATTCCACTCTTTGTAGTGAAAATCATCCTTTTATATTTCAAATGTATTTCTGCTCCTGTTTATGTCTTGCTATTGGTCAAGCCAGGTAAACCAGCTTTGAGCAAAGTTGAAGTCCTTGAAAGAGATTCACAACTGAACCAAACATTAGTCCAGGTACCTGTATGCTTCACTTTGTACATTTTGAATTAATCTTGATGCTCATATGTAGTGCCTTTCCGTGATTCAACACCTGAAGAAATTTAGGGAAGGCACTCTTTGTATAAACTGCATATGGAACATCATTTAACTTTTCTGAACTTTAAGTACTGTTCATATGTTTTAACAGGTCGAGATTGAATCAGGACGGCCACACCAAATTCGCATTCATCTTTCTTTCATAGGGCATCCTTTGCTGGGTAAACCTTAGCGTTGATATATTTTTTTACTGTGTTTTAGAAGTCAGTCGACATCCTTGTCAAGATTCAGGAGGCAATAAATAGGGGAATAAAAGCCCTTTTTCTCTTCAGAATGTTTATTATTGTTTAGTGGTTGCTAATTTGATATGTACAGAAGTTAAAGGAGCTAATGTTTAAGCTATCTAATTGCACAAGTTTGACCAATGCTTTTGTGAATTATCAGGTGATCCTCTGTATGATGTTGGAGGGCAACCAAGGTGCTTTGATTCTGAACATGAGGATGAGAGTTTTGCTGAAGACGGGTACAAATGTATTTCTGTTTATGTAGATGTAGATGGTTTGGTTCTCTCATCACATCATCTTTTTTCCTCCACATTGACACTAGTCTTAGTAGTGATATTTTTGAGAGAGGAAAAGGAAGTTGTCTGATAATCAGCAACAGATTTCAGCTCTTCAGAACACGAATATTTGCTAAGATACGGGAGTTAGACATAATGCTTTGAAGGGGGATTGCACACTGCTCACCTATGTTAATTGGTCTTTGACCGCTTTTGTTGAGTTTGATTTTCAACATAAGAGATCTCTCCTCCTTACCTTGAGAACAAAGTGTACCTTCATATTAAATCCAGCCTCAAGCACGTTTGCATTGATTTATCCAAATCAATACCAAATCCTTCTCTATTATTAGATCTTTGATGGAATTAACAAGTCTTAATGTATGTCATATGCCACAGTTACCAAAAAGAGACATTCCTCGAGACGAATATTATCTTGAGTGGCAAGAGGAAAGAATATGAGGAGCAAAGAAACATTTATTATGTGCCTAACAGAACCGAAGGACTTGATAAAATTCTCTTATATGTAACAAGTTCTCATTGGCTAGAAATATCTCCTGCAGCAGCTTTTCTGTGCTAACATTTTGATCATGTTTGCTAGTTTGTTTGATTGTTTTGTTTTTGAGCTCAGTCATTCAGAAATCATGTGTTATCCTCTTATCAAATCCAGAATCCACGGCTTTGATTTTAATTCTTGTAGAGGATATGAGAGGCCAGCAAAACCTGTTCCTGGAGATTGTGGCTACTACTTGCATGCACATCAATTGGTTCTCTCGCACCCACACCCATCCAAAAATGAGGTTGGGATTCAATGAACTGTAAAACCCTTTCCAGAGGATATAATCTTGGTATAGGCCGTTGTTGATGATAATTTTAATGAGATGCACTCAAAAAACAAGAAAAATGTTGATATTTTTTTATTCTGGTGATTTTGTGCTCCACGACTTTATGATCTGTTATAAAAAATTTCTCACCATCTTTTTAGCGAAGTAATATTCTGCTGCAATTTTTAAAAGCTTTCTATACACTTTCCTCACGGTTTTTTTTTGTGGTTGGCAGCAGGTAATAAAAATTACAGCACCTCTCCCATCCATCTTACGTACACAAGCAGAAACCGAAGAATTGATGTGAAATAGTTCTGTTGTGAGCATTGCAATCAACTGGCTGGCAAAACATGAAGGTGGTATAGGTGACTAATTTAATGGCTAACTCTTTCCTGCTGTGGTTCGAGCAAAGGTTGAAACGCATAATAGAATCTATTTTGAATCACTAACCTGCCATCTTCGTTGTTAAACGTTTCTTTTCTTTGCATGAGTTGAACATTTTCCACCAATATTGGACCTTTCAAGTCATAAACCCCATTATAGTTGAGCCGCCGTCCACAGTCAGGGAGCAGGAATCATAAACCCCATTATAGTTGAGCCGCCGTCCACAATCAGGGAGCAGGAATGTTGACATGAGCAATTCCCCTTGCATGAAACTTTCGTTCCAGTAGCAGGCATATTGCTAGAACTTTCTTCGACGGATTCTAATTGGACTAAGACTTGATGCATATTTTCAGAACCTAGACCGAAGTCTGAACAAATTCCTTATTTACAGGATGGCATATTGATGGTTGAATCTTGCATCAAGCCACTTGGGCTACTCATAAGGTTTTCCAGGCAATGAAAATTTCTTAAACCGTGAAGCCATTTTCCATTCAATTTCAAGATAACTCATATGCGTCTTTAAACCGGGCTTCTCTGCTTGATATTAGTACAAGTTTACTGTCGCCTCCCAAGCTCTTTAGCTCACCGGGTTAAATCAGCTGGAATTCATTTAGCTTTTATTACCAGTTATATTAATATCGTTGATTTTTTTTCTTTTATGGTCTTGCAACGAAGAGAGGAGGGGGCGGGTTTACCATGCATTCTGGTTTCAAGCTTCTAAAATCAACCAGTTGAGCTGCAGTAACCGTTGTCGCCCGCCCCCACACATATTGACCGGAAGCAATTTCATTGCTAAACATCCAACTTGGATGGTGCTTGGCGAGCTCATTTCTGAAAAGGGAATTTTAATGTGCAAGCATATGAGTTGACGGTCTCTGGGATGGGTTTTCGAAAGAGGAGTGGGCATTGATGCTGCCCTTTCCAGCAACAGATTATTTTTGTATTTTTCATCAAATACAACAAATAGCTGAAATATTACAGCCACCTAAAATAACTTTTACCAAAAAGACGGAATTAAGAAACCGCCTGCTGCCCTATCATTCCACTGAAAAATATAATAACTATAGTACAAAGTACGGCAAAGGAAGAATTTGCCACTGAGGGCGTCCTAAAGATGCCCTCTCAACACTCCTACTACCTGCCTAAGTCGCCCTTCCCTCTCCAAGATTCTTCTTCTCTAAAGACGGTTCCATTTTGCCCCCCATACTGATCAGATTTGGCATAGTGCCTTTTAATGGCTACCACAGGATCAGAAACACCCGTGCATGGTCCCCCAACAAGAACCCCCCCCTTTTCTACAACATTCATCCCTACCATCCCCCTCACTTGCTGTCCATTCAGTCTCGGCATCTCCACAAATATATCCTCCCGCTGCTTCATATCTACTGTAAATGGCTGCACTCCAGCACTGTCATGATTCCTGTACATTTGGTAATCCACCACTCCATTAGTCCCACTTACTTCCCTTGATGGAAAAACAGACGTGCCATTCTGATTACACTCGTTACTCTTGACAACAGATTGCAATGTCTGCTGTGGCATTTTGGATGATGGCACAGTATAATTGCTAAATGCAGCAGGATACTTTGCCAGTAAAGCAGCAGAATCAGGTAACCCTGTCTGTGTTCTCTCATCCCAGAATCTATGGCTCATGTGAAAATTCTCAGGGCCAAGCTGATTATTACGATCACACTTCAAGAAAGCCATGTTACCCTCTGTAGGGTGGTGACCAGTTAATTTAAAAGTTGCTGACTTACCTGCTGGCTTAAGATGCGGGACCTCTTTTTCACCATTCTCATGGGCAATAGAATTCTGCTTTTGCAAGGGGTTACTGAGTATTTTACCAAACAGTTTAACATCACCATTCCTACATGGTTTTTCCATACCTGATGGTTTTTCCATATCTGATGACCTCCGTGAATGATCTCTTGGACGATCACTTCCAAGTTCAAAACGTTCAGACAGGAATGGGAGCTCAGACACTGGATGCTGAGATTTTGCGCCGCTACACTTTTGACTATAGCAATCCTCAACTTCAAACTGACTGGTGACATTCTTTTCGGAGGTGACATTCTTTTCAGATTTTGGAAAGCTTTGAGCTTCAGAAAGTGGTCTGACATAAATATCCCCATTCATCTCTTTCTTTGTTGGAACTTGCTGCGGATAACCCCTGAGAATCTGGGAAGAATCGTTCTGGCTCGTCAGAGGATGACCAGACAGACGCTGGAAGTAGTTCTCTCTACAAAAAGATGTTTTACCCTGCTTATCTCTACACTCCTGAAGTTGTTCGTGCTTTTTCTCATATTGGATGACCACAGAATCTTGTACTACAGCATTTGTTATAGAAAGATCATTCTCCTGTGGCAATGAGATGACAGGAGGCTTTCCCACAGATTCCAACTGGACAGAGACTTGGTGTATATTTTCTGAACCGCGCCTAATATCTGAACAAGAATCCATATTTACACGATGGTGTGAGGCATTGCCGGTTGAATCTTGCATCAAACCACTTGGGCTGCACAAACTTTTTTCAGGCAACAGAAGTCCTTGTCCAGAAACTTCATTAGAGACCTCAGCTACAGCTTTCAACTCAACTGCAGTGTTTGCATTGGATGTGCTGGCATCAACTGTGCCTATAACAGGCCCTGCTTCAGCAACAGAAACAGTCTTGTCAGCCACTTGATCTCTTTCAGATTCTACATTAGTCGACACAATCAACACTTTCTGGGCCTGCAGAGACTCCAACTGATTAACAGAATTCATGACTTTGTTGTCAACAACAAAAGCTGGATCAGCCCTCTGCCCTGCCTCAGCTGGATCAGAAACCATTTTATCCACAATCTTGGAATCATTCTGATCTAATATCCCAGATGCATTATTGTCTTCAGTTCCATCCGGGTCAGAATGCAGCCTTATCCTCTCCTCTGCATCAGATTCATTATGCTCTGTATTCATGACAGACAGCAGCAAGTCCTCATCAACCTTAGAGTCTAGTTTATCACTGGAAATAGCAGATCCAGTCTCTATAGCACAGGCATCTTCTGTGTCACTCCCACCTCCATTTCCAACATCGCTAACTGGTGTTCCAATATTTCTATGTCCAGGATGCATCAAATCCAGTCCAAGGCACTTCCTGGCCTTGCTAAAAAACACCTTGCACTGGTACCTAGTTCTTGTCCTGACAAAATGGGAGATCATTGCAAAATCCTTTCCATAGGATGATACAGCTTGTATAAACATGAACTTCTCCTCATCTGTCCAATCAGTAGGATCCATCTCCTCACAACTCTCATCTGAACAGGTCTCTTCATCAAAATTCCGCATAACATCAGATGTCAAAGGTGGCTTTGCAACAGAATCCAGCTTTTGGCACTTCCGCTCTCGATAGCCCTCTACAAGATCAACAGAGGTAGTGATACAAGAACTCATGGCCTCAGAGGACATTGAACCACAGATACCTGCTAAAACATCAGCAGCAACAGTCTCTCTTTCACTCCCAAGAACATCCAAAATACTTGATCCTTCTAAAATACCATCATCACAAACTTCTGTTATTTTAGAATTACGGTAGCCTCTCGAAAAGATTCTACTAGAGCACAATCGCCGACTGTTCATAGCATGGTCAGCACCAGCTGCCATCACAGCACCAAAAATATCTAGCGACGCAGCATTCAATTCACGATTCCATTTTGTACTTGATGCAACCAAGTAGTTAGTAGAAGATTTAGTTTGCACACTCTTCTTGGTTTTTTCAAAACAATCAGATTTGTGGTTTTTGTAATAGAATTCAACACAGTCTGCAGTTGACTTGTGATCAAGAAAAGAAGCAACTTTTCTGAAATCCTTCCCAAAAGTTGCTAGCTTATGCATGAAAATTTCTTTTTCATCAGAAGTCCAGGGATTGATCATAGCTCTTTCCTTCTCAACAGCACAAGGATCTTCAACCAATCCATTACTGGAGATAAACCGTGATACTATTCTCTCTTTCTTGTCCAAAATTAATGCTGGCATTTTCAAAGCATTCCTGTAAAGCTTGAGCTGAGAATCTGCAAACAGCTTGCTTGTGAAGTTAAGCATCTCTGTTGTAGGGACCAGGTTCAAATTTCCAGCTGCAGAGATTGAAAAAAATATATAATTCAACCAGATAAACCTTGGTATTTAAGACCACCATTAAGAATCATTTTTATTGTATTTTGAACTCACAATACATTAAGCAAGCAAGTAAAATCCTCAGTTTAAAAAATCAACTGGCTCTTTCTCTGAAATATTGAGTTGGAACCAAATCCAAGGCCACAACAGAAGTAATATGTCTGGCTTAGATCACTGTAACCTAACTTTATATAGCATGAGAAGAATGACCAACATTTCTCTTGACCAAAATAACCAAAACTCTCCACAGTTACTTTATAAGCTACCAAATCCATGAAAATTTTTGCCTATCCCCCTTTTCGATGAGAGAGATAGAGCCAGTATCCATTTTGACATACAATGCACAGGTTATATACACACATGCCATAAAAACCTGACTTTCAACACAGTTATCCCAACAATGGACATCAAAATCTATAAAATCTAATCCAGCCTACAAGATTACACCTACAGTGCTCATGCAAGAAGAAAACTATCTAAATATATAAAGCTTCAAATATCCAAGTCCACTAGACATGAAGTAAGATCAGGCAAACTCACATTTACACATCATTTCTAGCAAACAAACCTCTAATAGGGCATCTGAACTTTGTGGCACAACAGGAAAGTCAACGGCACAAGTACAGAGAGTTCTCACATGATGGATCTCCTAGCCCCGGTAGACAACAGATACAAGGAACAATAACGCATGTTTTCCAAAATTCATTACATGGTACAGGAACACAGCAATATTATGAACTAACAAGCATGTGATCTCTCACTTTATTACATGGAAAGCTAAAAGTCCCCATGCATATCTGTTAGCTCAGCATTTTCTACCCATATGGAACAAAACTTGCATGGTATCTGATGGCAGTTCTGAATGATACCAAAAACAAGGCACCTGTTTTACCAATTTGCCGATGCGATAACAAGCTTAGCCAGAAAACAACAGCCATTTATAAGGAAAAGGTCAAGTGATCATAGTAACCTTACCAGGAGAAGAGAATCGAGCACGAATGGAAGAACGATGCTTTTGAAACCCA